CTGCTGAATGTGTATATCCTATTTTGAATTTATGCATTTCTCATGAAAAGTGCTTCCATGCGTATCCAATCAGGGAATAGGAGAAAATTCCATGTGCTGACCACAAAGAAAATAAAGTGATACTTTTAGAGTTCTGGATACTTGGAGTCACTACCTCCAGGAGCTCAGAGTCTTCAGTGCAGTTCTTGGTACCCGATGCAGTTAGGAATGTGTATATCCTATTTTGAATTTATGCATTTCTCATGAAAAGTGCTTCCATGCGTATCCAATCAGGGAATAGGAGAAAATTCCATGTGCTGACCACAAAGAAAATAAAGTGATACTTTTAGAGTTCTGGATACTTGGAGTCACTACCTCCAGGAGCTCAGAGTCTTCAGTGCAGTTCTTGGTACCCGATGCAGTTAGATTTGGGGAGCCTGGGTTTCTCAACCATCAAAATGAACAAAGAGGGAGAGGAAGAAAGAAAAGCAAATGGGGAAATCAGCAGCTGATCGAGTGTTTGTCAAATATCTCCCTGATTCTTAAGCACAAGCTCCAGTCTCTTCCACATTCCACAGAACAAAGGACGAGTCCAGTCCTTAATGGGCTCCCACACTTACGTTTCTTTCTCTGTTTCTCCCTTGCTCCATTCACACATCTGTGTTTTTCTGACCCCCTGGATGCATGCTTTACTGAGGAGCTGATTGACCGACTGCAGATAGTTCAAATGGGAAAGCTGTGGTTTTAGTCTGGCCTTACATATATGAAAATGAAGCTAGTTCACAGAGCTCAAAGGTGAAAACCCCGGAATTTATTGTTTGCTCAATCTTATGCTTCCATAGTGAACAACTAGGCACTAGCTGCTGTGTTGCTATGGCAATATGCACTTCCCAAGCTCCTCCTCTCTAACTTAATTACTCCAGTGGTGTCAAGATGACCATTCCCTATATTTCATATGCATGCAATAGATGTATAAATGGGAAGAGAAAGGCTAGTTCCATGATTAGAGCACTTGTCTTTGAACTGCCTAAGTCACGCTTATCCTCCCTGTGCTGCTGCTCCTCATCTGTAATGGAGGTGATAGCACGGACCTACTGCCCGGCAGTTTTGTGAGGATAAACACATTAAGGATTAAAGAGTCTGAGATTGTCAGACTCTATGGTGATGGGGGCCATGTATGTACCATAGAAGTGTGAGGTGCTAAGGTGCCAAGCTTGTCCATTGTCGCCCATGGAAGAGGCTTTGAGTGTGAGCGTATGTACTCGAAGTGAGTCATAATGACTTGAAAGTGGTTGTTCTAGAAAGTGATGGGTTTAAGAAGAAGGGTGAGGAGGTTCTATGTTTGTTTTCTCTTGCTAGCATCCATCCCATAGGGATTCTGGACTGGAGCTGAGGAGATTTGGCTTCTTTTCCCAGTTGCCAGCTCATCAGAGTGCAAATGCAAGCTGGGAATATAAAGTCAATTATTCTTTCCCCCATCCTGTAAAATACCTGTTTGCAAATGATAAAGATTTGGCAATGGAAACTTATAATTTTGTTGATGATGCATGAGCCAGAATGGCATCCAGTTTACCCATTCATTCTTGTATTGGCTGTGCAGGACTGAAAAGTAGAAAAAGCTTAATTTGGTCACTAGATGGCATAGATCTAACTCACAATCCACAAAGGAAATGTGGTTGTAGAGTAAGAAAGTGCTATTTATACATAGGCAGTTTTCTGATGATAAGCCCTACTTTTTTGTCCATAAACATATTGTAAGCAGGTGTTCTGGGTATTTTCAAACATCTGGGAATAATTGTTAACTAATTGTGTAATAAAAGCAACATTATATTTCAAGAGATGGGCTTTCAGCGACCATCCTCTGCCACAGCATTCACCTAATACCCCAGCACATTGGGAAAATTTAAGAGCTTTGGCTCTCTGAAAACATCCCCTCAGTGTGCAGTGGCAGTCAAAAAAGCAATCAGAACGTTGTGAATCATCGAGAAAGGTGTGGAGAGTAAGACAGAGAATATCTTATTTCCCTCTACTAATCAATGGTAGGCCCACATCTTGAATACTCCGAGCATCTTCATCTCAAAAAAGATTTATTGGCATTGGCTCACCAACCAACTCTGATTTCTATTATTGTATTTATAGGTAATTTCACCATATGCACCAAGTTCAGCCTTTGGGTTGTTAATTAACTTTTCTTTACTCGTGGTATACAGTTGGTCATCTAAGTTGTTTAGCATTATTTCTGCTTCCTGATTGGATGAATGGAGCTTTTTTAAAAAGGAGAATAATCACCAGTAAAGAATGAATAATGAGCAGCAAATGTCCTTGTTGAACGAATACCCATGTCTGCATGTGAATACTGATATTCATAGGAAGAAAAGATATCCCCCAGGTGACTGTCCAAACATAATCATACCATACTGGATCGTTTTTATTGGGAAAAAAATCCAAGTGTTTATCGAATGGGAATAATAAGAGGAATTAATAGGATCATACTCAGAATTCAAATGGGTCTTTGGTCAATTTGCAGTGTTCAGCTACAAATGTAATTATGGCTATGAGATGCCCAAAGTTAGCTGTTTCGGGGAAGGGTTGTGATTTTTATTTTTGTACTGATATAGCTATGCTGGCAAAAGTCCTAGTGTAGATGTAATTATGCCAACAAAAATGTCCTTTTGCTAGTTAGCTGGGGGAACCGGTATAAGCTATGTCTATACTAGGAGGCTGTGTCTACACTGGGCCACTTATTCCGGAAAATCAGCCGCTTTTCCGGAATAAGCTGCGAGCTGTCTACACTGGCCCTTGAATTTCCGGAAAAGCACCGACGCTCTACTGTACAAAATCAGCCGCTATTCTGGAAAAACTATTCTGCTCCCGCTCGGGCATAAGTCCTTATTCCGGAACACTGTTCCGGAAAAGGGCCAGTGTAGACAGCCCAGTAGTCTTTTCCGGAAAAAAGCTCTGATCGCGAAAATGGCGATCGGGGCTCTTTTCCGGAAAAGCGCATCTACATTGGCCACAGACGCTTTTCCGGAAAAAGGGCTTTTCCGGAAAAGCAGCCTGCCAATGTAGACGCTCCTTTTCCGGAAAAACTGAAAACGGAATAGTATTCCGTTTTAAGCAGTTCCGGAAATTCATGCCAGTGTAGACACAGCCGGAGTGTTTGTCAGGGTACCTAAACAGCAAGCCCTTTCTAGTGTAAGCAAGATATTAGGGACCTGATACCATATTTAGGTACCAAAATAAATGGCCTGATTTTAGGAGGTGCTGTGTTCCTGCAGCTTCTAGTAACTACACTGGGAGCTGTAAGTGCTCAGTGCCTCTTGAAAATCAGGCCATGTGCTTAGGAGTCTAAGTGCTCATCTATAAGGAAAGTTTTGTGTGATACTGGTATAGTTGTACTGCTGTAGTTACACTAGTATAAACCTTAAGGGTAGACACTTTCTCTCTGGAATGAGTGTGGCTTTTTCAGTGTCACTTAAACTCCTTCCCACTTAACATAAGCTAAACCAACAAATCCAAAGCTTTTATGCTGGAACAAGCATGCCCACACAAGACATTACAGGTATAACTATACCTCGCGCTTCAGCTTATAAAGGTAGAAAAGTCCTAAAGTTGGCAGAAAGTGTTTAGCTTCAGGAAGCCAAGCGAGGACAGTTTGGCCAGAATGCAGACAGAGAAGCCGCATGGCACTATCTCCCCTTGCGCCAGCTTGTACATGCGCGGGTAACGTAGCTGTTCTTTGTTTGAGCGCCTCTTGGCCTGTCGTTACTGACTGTGCTCTTTCTCCATCCAGCACTGCCAGTAACTCGAATCGCAGCACGCCTGCCTGCTCCCCCATCCTGCGCAAACGTTCCCGGTCTCCGACCCCGCAGGACTCCCAAGGAGACGCCATGGTGGAGAAAGGCTCAGACCACTCTTCAGACAAATCCCCTTCCACTCCGGAGCAGTGTGTGCAGCGCAGTTATTCTGCTCAGTCAGGCCGCAGTGGGGCCAAGAACTCCAAGGTGAGGCGAGCGGCCCGAGGATCAGACACCTCCCCCCCTTCCTCTGTACACTCTAGTTCTTTGTTCTGTGCCTTTCTTCTCTGAGTATCTCTCCTCCCCTGACACCACATTACCCAAGGTCCTCCACAGAGGTGCCCATTGGCTCTAGGGGCACTTGAGTGGTTAGGACAGAGCTGAGCACATGCTAAACACACCCTTGTCTCCCCTCTACTAAGCTCAGACCACAGGGCACTAGTTGCTCTTGCAAGCAGGCCCGTGCTGCAGCTTTGTTATGGCTTCTATGAAGTGAACCTTTGGAACCAGGGTCCCCTCCCTCTGGGAGCCTGCACTGTTTCCAGCGGGACCCTGGGAACCAGCTGGAGTGAACATTCCATTTCAGCCATTCATGGTGAGGTTCGGAGGCACAAGCTGGGGAAAAGGGCCTCGAGGGGCCCGCTCTGAAAAGCTTCTGGCTCGCTGAGGGTAAATGCATGCAGTGCAGAGAGCTGAGAACAAGTCCTAGAGGCCACATCAGTCCCATTGAAGGCTGGTTTGAGCCCATAAATGGGATTCCGGGGTACTCGTCCACCCAGAATCCCAGACTCCTTTGGCTGCAGGATTAACCACAGCCAGTGTATTCCATCAACACCGGGAGTGGGATGGATTTTTCTTATCGTTCCCAGCCCTTCCTCCCCCTGCTGACTGGTTGCCACCTTCTTGATGAATATATTGCATCCACAGGCACCGTTGCAGGAAGGAAAGAAAAGACTAATCTAGCTGCCTCTCTGTAGCTACCCTCTAAGGTGTGTGCTGACACCGACTGGCTGAAGGAACTGTGTAAAAAGCCCCTTTTGTTCCCCTTACAGTGCAGGTACCTTCAGTCCAGAGGTGGCTGGGTTTACCATTTTCATGACCTTTTTGAAGCCAGCTGTTGCATGATCCCCACTGTACAGACAGAGTGACAGGGAATTGCTCAGGGAGCATGTGCAAGGAGGTTTGAAATAAGCCTGCCGGCCCTGCTGATTTTGTTAGCCTTGGTCAGTGGTGCCTTGGGACTTCCAGGGTTCTAGGCATGTATGACGAGAACAGTGCCTTGATGCCAGCCCTAGGGATTGTCAAAAAGCTCACTGCTCAAAAGTGTTTTTCAAAATTTGTGAGGTGAAACATTTCACCATCAGAATGTCGTCAGCACACCTGTGCCTCTCTGGCTTGTGTGAAATGAACTGGTGGATTTTCAGCCCAGGTTATCATTGGACAATTGTCTGGATCACACAGCAGAGCCTCCGCTCCCTTGCTACTTTCCATTATCGGTCTCAGCAAAGAAGCCCTAAATTCATTGATTGGTGGAGACTGAACTGCTTTCTCTCCCAAAGGGATGTCCCTGTGGGTGAAGCGTGTCCTATTTGTAAAGGACAGTGCAAGAGAAGCTTGCATCACCACTGCCCGTGCTGTGCTTGTTCCATAGGTAGAGACTTTGGTCTCTAGCTCTGCCAACCCGCTGGCTACCACAGCTCTGCATTTATCTGAGGCTCATTTCAACCAGGAAAAGGAAGGAAATAATATTTCCTGTTGTGTTTGCGGGTTTTCCTCCCATTGTTTTGTGAGGCATGTTTTTTTTAAATTTCTCTCTCTTCCCTTCTGCATGCTCTCTTTCCGATTTAGTCACACAAGCGCCTCTCCAAAGTAAGCTTTCTTTCTATTCCCCATTTTCCACCATAGAGTTGTCTTAACACTGAGAAATTCTCCCTGTGGCACTGGGAACTGCCCCCTGCAACGGGACGTTGTCCTAGTGCTTCTGTAGGAATGTTGGTGACCGCTCACCCCAACACCTGTTGCTATGAGGCTGGGTTCAGTTGAAGTCACTGGGATTTCATTAATATTCATTCACATGGCAGGAGAACTGTCCCATTCATTATGCGCCTTTATTTTACATTCCTTTGACCCTGTGGATTATTTTGAAATTTGTTTTTCTTTAACTTCAGATTAACTCGTTCTCAGTTTGCAGAGTGAAACCTACAGGCTGTGATAGGTGACACAGTCCCACAGCATCCTCTTTCTCCTCTTTCCACCTCATAATTTTCTAGTCGTTTGAGACCTGCCAGTTCGTCTGTGTTATTTCTCCAATATTTTTTATGACCGGGGACTTGCTCTTTCTGAGCTGGGCGATTCATGACAATTGATCACAGTCAGGCTGGCCCTCAAGTGGTTTCCTATGTGACATGAATATTAAAGTTCAGTGACCTCAAAAGAATACAGCTGTACCCTTTAGAATAGACTTGCTTTCTAAGGAACCCTGAGAATTCATGGGCTCATTTTGAAAGGTACAAGTGGAAGGTGTCTTTCATTGGGATAAGAAACCAAGTCCCACAGGGGAGGCATATGTGGCTTTCATTTTTTGCACATCTGGTCACTAACTACATTGTCTTCTGGTTATCATAAAAAAATAAGACCGATGAGGGGGTGACTAGGGGATAAAGCACTAAAGTGAAATGGTTCAGATAGCTCAGTGTCCCTGTATGCTGGTATTTCTCCTGGCTTCGAATGCTGGGTTAGTTCCCAGTGGACAGTGAAACCTATGGTCCTAGCTTAGTCCCCTATTTGTTCACATCACAGAATTTGGCTCAGACTTGCGTTATTATTGGTCTAGGTTGAGGAGCCTTTGCCTGTGGGTCAGGATGGAGATGCATTGGGAGAGCACTGTGGAGCTCTCCATAGGATTTGCAGGTGGAAATTCTAATAGATCAGTTTGGAAGTGCATTGGCAGAGATGCAACACACACACAAGGGTCTTTTTTGGTTCACTTCCAGTCTGACTCTTGCTTTGGTGAGAGCAAAATTCTCTAAAAGAGAGAATGGTGCAAGAAACCTGAGGCAAGTTCTGAAATGAGAATGGTGAATAGGTGGGCGAGGGAGTTCTGAGCACATTCCCCAGTGGACAGACAGACAGACAGACGTGTCCCACTCTCTCATGCAGTTTGCCCCCACTCTGCATTCATAAGCTATCTGTGCTGTGGGGACACTGCTGGTAGAACTAATACAAAGATGAAAACTGCTTTGGACCTCAGGAGAAATTGGTTGCGATCAATCTGGGTTAATTTCTTCTGATGGCACAGTGTAGAGAGAGGAAGCCCAGGTGAACTAAATTCCTCTCTTAGCTCAGATGCTGCTGCGTCTGTCCAGAGCAGGGGTCATGAGAGAGAGCAGTGTATAGGAATGCACACAGAAATGCAGGATGAAGAAATCCATATTTTATCTCTCAACTTTTTTTTTTGTTTCAGTTTTTCATTTTGCAAGCAGAAAAATATCCTGCTTTACTATGCAAACCAGCTCAGATTGGCAAGGGCGGGGGAAGGGGCTGAGCCCATGAATTTGACACTGTGTTATGCAGTTGCTGACTGTTGTACTGGAGTAGTTTTTGTTTCATGTTGTTGTCATGACACAGTTCCGCCATCAGAGGGAGCCACTTCACTTGTCATTTTGAACCATTTGAATAAGCCTGTACTAATGCTTTTTAGGAGGTTTCCGATCCAGTGCTCACAGGTGGAACTTAGATGGTTCATCCGTGCAGCAAGGAGACACTTTGCTCCACCTCAGCCTGAGATTGCCACCTGGCCTAGTAGCCGTGGAATGAAAGCTGTTGCTTTGCTATTAAAGCATCAGCAGGATTGGTTTCATTTTGGTTTGTTCACTCTGGCACACAAAAAGGGGTGATCCCATTTATACCCTAGTGCTAAGTCTGAACGATGTGGATAAAAGTGATCTGTACTGTGCACACAGTTGGTACAGACGCTCACTCCTGGAGTTCTATGACTATGGCTCCTAGGTAGTCCAGTAGTACAAACAAATAATATTAATTTATTTATTAGCGTGGATAGGAAAGATGAGCTTTACAGTGTATCCAGAAGGTTGTCAGTCTTGGACCAGGGTGGCTTGTTGGAGCAGGTTCCGTAGCCCTTGGAGCCCTTGGGCAAATCCTTGGATAAAGCAAACAGGTGCTTGAGCTGTAAGATATGTCTGCACTTGGAGCTGGGGGTGGGGGAGTGATTCCCCGCTCGAGGAGCCGCTGATGCTAGCTGTCACCAAGCTAGCAGATTGCAAACAGCATGTAACTGTAGCAGCACAAGCTCTGGGACAGGCTAGCCACCCTGAGGATGTGCCTAGGGATTTTTGGTGGCCACATAGTTGGGGCATCTTGCTTCCCCCCACCATACAGTTGCAGCTACACTCTGTGTTTAGTGCACTAGCTCAATCAGACCTTGAGCCGGCAATCTCACTTCCAGGATCTCTCGTACCCTTCGTCGCTGGATATTCAGTAGCTAGTAACTGCATGGTGTTAAAAGGGAAGGGGCCCTTGGCGTTAGACTGAGAGTCAGTATTCCAAGTTCTGTGGCGAACTCATTTGTAACCTGAGGCACCTTTCTGTGCCTCAGTTTCTCCAGGTGTACAATGTTGATCATGGTGCTTCTCTACTTCCTAGAAGGTGTGGTGGGGCTGAATTATTTACAGTATGTGACGTGCTTTGGATTCCCCTGGCAGCAGCACTATTGATGAGCAAAAGATGGTCCTGGTCCCAAGCCCTCCACTGGCTCCATGGAGAATAGGATTACCAGCCAGCAAGCAGAAGTTCATACAAACGGCACGCTCTATTGCCTCCTACCCATAGCCGTATCTCGACTCTCCCCAGGCAAAGTTGCCATTACACACAGTAAGGTCACTTCCCCAAGGCAGGCTCTTGTTAGACAATGCTAAGGTAGACAGAGGGATGTAGCAGGATTTAAAGAAAGACTCATTAAGAAACTCCATTCCCTCCCTCATCAAGGCGCCATGAGGAGTGTTATTTGGCTGCGGAAGATGAGTAACTGTGTGCTTTGACACCCCTGGCACCAGCCCCTCTGTGCCTACGTAGTGCTGTGTTCTGTGGGTCCGTGGAAGCTCCTCTCAGTCCTGTGTGTGTTTATTTCCACCTTTACGTTAGATGTTACTGATTTGCTTTCTCCTTTCAGTTCTAATTGTTATGATTTC